GGGGCGGCGGAGGAGAGGGACCCACGGGGGCTGGGCTGGGACCAGAAGTCGGCAGAGGAGCCGTGGCCTGGCATGTCTCCGGCTATGCCCAGCCGTGGGCCTGGCAGTGCTGCACAGCCTGCAAAGAAACAAAGGGAGATGGTAGAGCCAGCCGGGGGCCCCGCGCATGAGCTGGACCTGGAGCAGGGCTTGTCTCTCCCCTCGCCTGGGGGCAGCTGGGGAAGACGGAGCCTCCCAGAGGCATGGGGGAGGTAGAGGAGCCGTGGCCTGGCATGTCTCCGGCTATGCCCAGCCGTGGGCCTGGCAGTGCTGCACAGCCTGCAAAGAAACAAAGGGAGATGGTAGAGCCAGCCGGGGGCCCCGCGCATGAGCTGGACCTGGAGCAGGGCTTGTCTCTCCCCTCGCCTGGGGGCAGCTGGGGAAGACGGAGCCTCCCAGAGGCATGGGGGAGGTGAAGCTGAGGGCCAGAGCCTGCCCCACAGCGCTGTACTCACCTGGCACCGCTTGGCCGCCTCCAGGCTGGAGCACCAATAGGCTGGTCCCAGCGCGCAGCCCTCGGCTCCAGGAGCGGGGCCCGGCCCAGGCTCACACACGCCCAGTTCCTGTGTGTGAGGGGCAGAAAGCGCAAGGCCCGTCAGCCCCCTCTGAGCTGCGACATGGGGGGCTGAGGGGTGCAGTGGCACAGAGCCCCCAGGGTTTCCCTTTCAGGGCCTGGCACCGCCCGGCTGGGGGTGCGGGAGGGGGAGGACCGTGGCTTTGCCACGTCACTCGACGGCTCCTCTGACCTGGCACGTGGTCCGGGGGTCCCGGGCCTTCGGCAGCAAGGTCAGCAGCCGGGGCTGGAGCCGCTCTATGACGCTCTTCTTGTTGTTCGGTGCGGAGACCCCCCCCCCCCCCAATTCCTTCCTGCCCCGTGGGCTCCATGCAGCTCCTGGGCATGGCTGCCTCTGCCTGTAGCGGTCCTGATCCTGCAAGGAGAGCCAGGTGCAATTCGCCCCCGGCCCCAAAGGGCAAGGCCCTGGGGGATCCCGCTGGGCAGGGACCCCAGACACCAGCACGGAAGGGACCCTCCCTGCCAGGGAGACCCTTGTGTAGACCCTCCCCCTCGTCCTGCCTGCCAGGACCCCCGCCCCCATGGAACTGGGACACGGGGCAGAAGCCAACCTGGGAGGCCCCCCCGTCACTGCC